AGCACCACAGCTCACATGGGGTGAATTTAGGGGGTGTTACAGAGCCTGGCACAGACACATGGGGCAACATGGAACAGCCCAAAGCTCTTTGGAGAAAGAACAACTGCATGAACACTGAGCTGAGAAGAAAGAAAAGCAGGTACAGGCATTAAAACATGAATACGCTTGTGACTAGATCCTCGTGTTTCCCAGAAATTACTGCAATGCATTTTGCACAGGCTGTAAGGATGAAGGGATGCTTTAACTGAAGCCTGGAAAGGAAGGCAGGAGCCAGGGGATTTGCCCAGATTTGTCCTGGAGTCCTAAGCATTTCTTGGTGATCTTGGTACCACCACATGTTTTTAAGACATAGCAGAACACAGCTGTAAATGCCAATATTAAAAGTCCTAAGCTAAGAGAAATTTATGGAAACTAAAATTTCCTGTTGTTTTGACGCCCATGGAACAGAAGAATAATTATTAAATATGAAGCTACTATTATTCCCAGTGGAATCAATGCAGATTGGACACAAAGAATCCTTTTTTTTTTTTTTTTTTTTTTTTTTTTTTTTTTTGTTAAACTAGTGGGAAGCCTTGTGTGTACAGGATATACCCATGTACTATGTCAGCAACAAGTGTAGCTCTCATTTGCACCAGGAAAAGCTCACTGAGTCACAAACCCAGCCTCATGTGACAGTCTGACATTTGTCAGATGAAAGCAATTTATGAGGTCTCAGGTTCATGACAGTCTCAAGGCTCTGTTCTGACACGGGCCACAAGTGCTACTTAAATATGTCATTCCTCTGCACAGAGCTGCATTTTCTCTGTGAGGACACAGGGCTGTGCAAGCCCCAATTTCAGCTGGTACAATGGATTTTCTGGTGGCAGACACAACTCAAACATCCTGCACATGAATGGAATTAATTGATCTTTTCTGCTGGGAGGCTGCTGTACTCCTTGAGCCAAGCTCTGCTTTAAGTCACAGCGTGAGGAGCCGTGCTGGATTTACTCTGGAGCTCTGCAGCGCAGACTGCAGGGCTCCTCCTGTCCCCCAGGGAAGGTTAGTGAGCAGCAGCTCGGCTTGGCTCCTTATTGTCTTTGTTAATAACACTTCTAATGATTTGCGTTTGCATCTATTTTTGTATCTCTTAACATACTTGTAAGATACTCAAGGCTGCCTTGGAAAGAACCCAAGCTCAGGAGAGGGGTGTATTTAAAACAGATGAACCCCTGGCTGCTGTAGGTATGCCATTGGTGTCCATTCAGTTTGCAGGAGTTTTTTTCTCCCTTTCCACAGTCAGAGGCAGCCTGTGGTGTGCCCAACCCTCAGAGCACTGTAACAGAGAAGCACCATCCCTTCCTTTTGCAGAATCTCCAGTTCTCCACTGAACAACTTGTTCTCCACAAGAACATCACAAACACTAGGGCAAGCAGGGAAAGAAGAAAAGGTCATTCTGCAGCTGCAGGGTAAACTAAAACAACTATCTGATCTTAAGTTCCCTTTAGCCTGCCAACACTTCCCTCATCGTTTAGTGTACGACTCTAAATGCCCATACCTGCAAAACGTTTGAGATACAGCTTATTTAGACTCTGTGGAAAACAAAGGGAAAAACTCCCATCATAACATCTCTTATGGCAGCTCCTTGAAAGTCAGCTAGTGACCACAACCAAACCCTTCTCCTGCTCTCTGCTAGGATATTATTCTTCTCTGACTGGATGATTGGTGTCCATGAGCCACACGCTGGAGTCCCTCAGGCCTGATGGGTATGGAATTCCCACATCCATCATATTCCCACATCATTCACTGACCAGGGCCCCAGCACCTTCTTCCCACAGCAGCATTCACAAGCAGGGTAACCCAGCACAAAGCCTGGGCAGTCAGGCTGCCACTATCAACCAGAAAGTCCAGCTCAAGCCTCTCAGCACTGAGACAAGGCTGCTTCACACACAAGTTCTCTGTCCATCCTGCTTATCAGGGAACAACAACTGCACTCGACTCTTTGCCAGGCTGCAGGGAGTCAGAGGCCAGGCTCCTCTGGTTTTAAGGGCTACAAGAGTGTGCATGGCCCAGCCATCTGCAGGAAGTCCTTCTTGCCACCTGGGCCAGCACCACCTACTCTTTCACCAGACACCCAGGAGATTCAGCTGTCTCAGCTTCCTTTGTCAAGCTGCCCTTGGCACAGCAGCACTGCTTGTCTTCAACTTTACAGTGAGAAGCCTGGGGAGGATGTGTCCCCAGCCCTGTGTGTCAGCATACCGGTGCTATACTGGTGTGCCAGGGGACCACCATGGTCTGAAACACCACTTTAGGTTATGTTCAGTTTGTTTCTAGTTTTTTTTCAAAACAATTTTTGGTCTCAACTACAGAAAAAATAATTATATATATATATATATATAAATACATGGCAGTTCTGTGAGCTGTTTTCATGCTGAGAAGTAAAATGAACATTTTAAAAGATCAGATCTGAAGAAATCTGAGTATTCTTAGCACATAAAAATATCACCGCTTTTTATAAACCGTAACCTTATTTTCATTAAAAAAAAAAAAATTAAAAAATTCAGCCCTGGGCCACATTCGAGTATTCTTAGCACATACAAATATCACCGCTTTTTATAAACTGTAACCTTATTTTCATTTAAAAAAAAAAATTAAAAAATTCAGCCCTGGACCACATTTCCTTGCTTAGGTCCCAGCACACCTTTCCATGGATTCCTGCCTTCCCTGGCTGAAGCTCTCCAGGGCCAGAGGGAAGGCTGCAGCTCGCGGGTGCTCCGCAGAGGTTGCTCTGCCACGCAGCACTCAGGGAACCTCAGCAGAGTAACGCTGCCACCAACTCCCTTGTTTAGAAAAGCTTGGGAATGTCACAACTTGTTATACCCTGGAATCCTTAAAACCCTCGGGAAGCAGTCATAACTTCTGCCTGAGGCGCCCCAGAGCTTCCAACAGCACCAGCAGTGTGAAATTAATGATGCAGCTGAGTCCGGGAGCGGTGGCATTTTATAGTGGGGAGAGGAAGCTCCACACACTGCCAGCTAATCCCGGAGAAGTAAATGAACTAGCTCACATTTGTCACAGGCTTTGAGACATTCCAAGGAAATGTTCCATAAAAGCCCAACTTATTAAGTATTTCTGACAAAATATTGTTTTAATTAATCTCAGTCTTTGATTTTCTATTTGGGCTGCTCTCACAATGGCCCTTTGCTTGCTTTTACTGTAGGTGATGCGGGCTCACCCACACACAATTCCCAGGACCTATGGAGAGTTATGTCACTGCAAGTTATTGATTGTGTTCCAACTTGGATTCTGCTTTGTACAGGCTCTAATTAATCCATATTCATACCATAAGGATTTCTCATCTGGCTGTGGTTTGACCAACCAGCAGAGAAATATAGAGCTCATATCAGTTACGCTGGATCTCTCCAAGAGAAAGTGCAGCTCTCCAACAGCTTTCTGTCTAGGAAATACAGAGTCTAGGCTGTCATGAACTATTTAGATGGAAATAAATGTCACCATTAAAAAAAAAGAGAACCCAACAAACAAAAAAATTCAAAACAAAAACCCCAAACAAACAAAAAAACCCCAAAATACCCTCCCCAAAAAACCAGTTTAGTTAATATATTTCAGAAATATGTCTAAACTTTGTGCTTCATGAAAAAAAAGTCAGAAGATTTTTTGGATGAAATGCACTCAGAAGACAAGCCAAAGATAAGCAAAGAAAATAAAGAGATAAGAAGATAAGCAAAGAAAACCTGTCATTAAAGATGAGAGAATTTACATGGGCAAAGTTTTTGTGGTTTCAAGCCCAGTTAGTAGAAAAATAAAATTATGTAACCTAGGAAGAGGATTCTGCATTTCCCTCGTTTAGTTTTCCCAACATTTTCGTTGTGCTAATTTGTACTTTAATCAATTACACTGTTGAATAAGGCATTTGTCAAGTGGTATTTAAGTGGCATAAATAAAGCAGTTCAAGGTTTCTCTTGGAATCTAAATTCCTAGCAGGAATTTTTTCGGCAAAACCGCAGCTTCAAAATACACAGCAAGACACAGACCATCCTCTAGCTCATGGAAAGACCCTGTGTATGTGTCATTTTATATCAGGATTAATGCCTTTAATATTTTCCCCGTTTTCTCTGCTGAATCCCATCTACAGGGACAATTATTGTGGGTTTGTTTTTTTTTACCTAGACTCACACAAGTTTTATTCCCATTTCACCCACTGAATTCTGTGCTGAACAATAATTACCAGCCCTGCAAAGCCATGTTTCGTCTCCTGGCACTGAGGAACGAAGCCACACTTCCACACCAAGCTGCGATTAGCTCTCCAGGGACACAGTTTTCTTTGCTTTCCAATTCTCGTGGCTCCCCTCCCTCTTCCTCCTTACCGCAGCGATTTTCAAACAATAAACGCGTGTGGGTTTAATTTACACCTTTTCTTACACCTTCCCTTTTTAGGGGCGCACAGGGCATGCTCTTCCACCGCTTCTGCGCTCCCTCATATGGAGTTCTCTCCCCCATTCCAGCGGGGAACGGGACAGCGCCTCGCCCCGTCTCTGGCTGCCGGGGCGGACCAGGCGAGGGGCGCGCGGCTCCGGCGGCTGGGGAAGCGCCCAGGGGCTCGGGATAAACCGGGATGCGGGCGGGATAAACCGGGAAGCGCTCCGGGCAGCGGCGTGGCTGCCGAGGGGCTCGGGATAAACCGGGATGCAGGGAAGAACTCCGGGCAGCGGCTGCTGAGGGGCTCGGGATAAACCGGGACCCAGGGAAGCGCTCCGGGCAGCGGCGCAGCTGCCGAGGGGCTCGGGATAAGCCGGGATGCAGGGAAGCGCTCCGAGGGCTCGGGATGAACTGGGATGCAGGGAAATGCTCCGGCAGCACACGGCTGCCGAGGGGCTCGGGATAAAGGGGGATGCAGGGAAGCGCTCCGGGGTCTCGGGATAAGCCGGGATGCGGGCGGGCTCCAGCGGCGCGAGGGGCGGGCGGAGGGCGGGGAGGGGTCGGCGCGGGGGCGCGCAGGCGGGGCNGGAGCTGCGATCCCGGCGGGACACGGCCGCGCCGGCCATGGAGCCCTCGCCCAAAGACGGCGAGAGCGCGGCGGCCGCCGAGCCCAGCCGGGGCGGCTCGGCCCCGTCCAGCGGCGTGGTGGTGCAGGTCCGGGAGAAGAAGGGCCCCCTGCGCGCCGCCATCCCCTACATGCCCTTCCCCGTGGCCGTCATCTGCCTCTTCCTCAACACCTTCGTGCCGGGGCTGGGTAAGGATGCTGCGGGAGGGAGCGAGGGAAGGCGGCCGGGGCTCGGCGTCCCTCTCCCCACCTGCGGCTGCTTCGCCCCGCCGGGGCCGCTCGGGCTGCCGGACCCGCCGCGGCCGCAACTTTCCCTTTCCCCGACGGCCCCGCGGGGAGGGATGGAGGAACGGAGGGATGGAGGGAGGCAGGAGCTCCTGCTCCAAGTTTCGCGTCGGGGGTCGGGGCAGCGCCGTGCGGGGTCCGCAGGGATCGCACCCAGCGGAGCGGGCGAGGGTCGCGCTCCCCTCGGCGGGCAGCGGGGCCGGGGCTGCCGGCTGACCCCGCTCGGCGGGCACGGGCGGTCCCCGGGACACAGCAGGCACATCCCGCACCTCCGAGCCCGCCGTTCTCGCCGGGCGGTGCGGGAGGGATTCCGCTCTTCGGGCTCTCGGCGACTGTGATTGCGGTCAGAGGATCAAAGTCACGGCGACCACATCGCTCGCTAGCTTGAGACGAGCTTTCAGAGCCCACCGTGCCGGGTTTTCTAAGGAGACCCCTGGAAAATGTTAGAGCCATTGACCAGAGAAACTGGGGATTCAGTTTCTCAGCATGAAGTCTCTAGTGTGCTCAGGTCCCTAAGCTGTTGATGCATCCTTTCTATATTTCCATTTCCTCCACTCGAATTGGGAATTGCTTACTGCAAGAGGAGCTTAGAGTTTGAACACTACAAAAGCCCCTGGAATACAAGGCTAAATACAAACATTTGAGCTGAAAGTGAAATAACCACATTAATAAAAAAACCAAACCAAACCCAAACAAAATAATCCATGACTCATTAACCCATACCTCAAGTCTCTCATAGTCCATTTCTGGCTGCTGTTTCTGCTGCTGTGGCCACCACAAAAGCCTTCCTTGTGATATGGGGAGTATCCTCCACCTAGCCCTGCTTTCAAAGAGCTACTGCCTGCCTTTAATTGCTTCATGTGCTTCAGGTGGCTTAATTCTTTAACAAGTCTGAAATACTTAAAGTTCTGATTAAAGTACTATGCATGTGTGGGTGGGATAGTGTGTGCAACACGTAGAAGCCATTGCTACTCCAGCGTGCTTGCTCTGAACCTGGGGATGTGTTCCAGAGGAAAACTTGCCCCTTTTGCAATACCTCTGAGTTTTCCTGTGGAAGGACTGGTGTGTGTGTGTGAGCTTCCAGGTGCAATGCACTGTGCTTGGGTGTTGTTTGCACAGCCCTTGTGTGCAGCCACCTGAAGAACCTCGGGTGATGAATCAAGGACAATCTCTGGAGCTGAGTTCTCTCATGGGGCTTTAGGTTTCCTGGGGCTTAGTTTCCCACTTTAGAGAGAGAAGTTCAAAACCAGACCTTTCAAAGTAAGTGTTGTTTTCTGTGGGCATTGAAGACACCACATCTTCAGTGTGAACATACAGAAAAAAAAGCCCTGACTTACCACCCCTTTTTCCTTATCCAAATTATCTGACACTTTACAAAGCACACTAGAAAACCCCCAGTGTTCTCCCTTCATCCCAGAAGGACAGTTCCCCATGAGACATCCTTATGTTGAAAGTGGCTTGAAGTGTGGTTCTGTGCTGGAGTTCTCCTCTGGGTGCTGCTGGGGGTAGCCAGTGTTGTGCCTTCCCTCATACAGAAGGGAATACAGATTGCCTGGGGAGGGCAATCTGTCCTTCCTGGGGAGGAAGGACAGATTGCCCTCCCTTCCTGAAGGTGAGTGTTCGGGGCTCACACTCCATGCAGGGAGTTGAATCTGGACTATGCAGCTATGTTGGTTGTGGCAGGCTGGACCAACACGAAATGGTTTTTAATTTTATTTTCAATTCTATTTGTTTTTTTTAAAATTTGTTTGCCCTTTGATGCAGTGATTTCAGCGGTACAGTCTGTCCGGCTGTGCCGCTGCTTCTCCTGGTGCCCTGCTGCAGAAGTAGCAAACCAAACAAACTACAGATGAAAAGGAATCCTTCCCTGTGGCATCCCCACAGCCTGGCAAAATGCAGTGATTTGGAGATGCATCCCAAGCTCAGTATGCAAAGCGTGGCATTTAGTTTGTACATAAATGAACCGTTCTGTTAATGAAGCTGCTAATATCACATGCATTTTGGGAGAAAACTTAGTCTGAGATGACACACCTGACTAGAATACAGCTATTTACAATCTCAGCCACATCCTGTCATGTATCACATAGCCCACACAGGAGGGGAAACGGGAGGATCACGAATCTACTGGCAGGAATGTTCAAGGTAAAAAGAGATTTTCTGTCATTGTTGTGCTTCAGCCATCTCAATGAGCTGAGCAATGCTTGTAAAACAGATAAGATTTGCAGTGGTGTGAAGCAGTCACATCAAGGATGTGAGCCTGTTCCCTGCAAAGTAAATGGCAAAATTCCCATCAGTTCTTGTGGTCCAGATTTATAACATGTTGAAGTGATGTTTCACAGGCTCACTGTGTATTTCTGCCTGCTTAGCTGGAGAGTGTGACTGTGTTTAGGTGTTAATGGAACTCCTCTATTTCTCAGTCCCTAAATTCATCCCTCATCTGCCTGCATGTAGTTGTCATTTGAGTGTAGACTCTGCAATTGCAAAGAAGGGTCAGAGACCACCGGAGTAGACAGGAAAATGGGCAACGTTGAATTAATCAAGATTTCCACTGCTTGGGGACTGGTGCATTTGAGGTTTTCATTAGTGCCCCGTGCCTCAGAGCAGTGATATCCAAATAGAAATTGCGCTCTGATGCAGGCTTCCAAATCCTTGGGCAGGCTCTCACCATCTGAAAGCCTCTTCTTTTTAGTTAAATTATCTTTTCTCTGTTATGGAAGTCACCTTTGAGGGTGACATCTGAAAATTTTAAATATCTGGTTTATTTTCCCTTTGTGCTATTTATGTGTAGCAGTAGTACTCTATTTGGACAGTAGAAGTAACACTTTCTCTTTGTTTACAGTCAGTGTATTATCTTCACTTGGTTAATTTTCAGAGTTTTATGTAATAACCTAGAACTGCAGGTTTTAAGGTGCATTGTAAACTGCGTTTTAACTACTCATTCCACACATGCTACAGAAGATGTAGTTCACAGGAATTTTTTCATACATAGGGGATGTGGACTTTTCTCGTGCCAAAACTTAAAATTCAGACCAAATACAGTGTAAAAAATCTTGATTAGCCCATCTACTTGTAATCCATCGTGCCGAATAGCCTTGAAATCACACATTCCTTCCAGTCACTGTGATGGAAATGTTCTGGATCAGTTTCCTATTGTATTTGCAGGGAAGCCCCGATGAAGGCAGGAATGATGCATCTGACTCCATGTTCTCAGAAGGCTAATTTATTACTTTATGATACTATATTATATTAAAGAATACTATACTATACTAAAGAATGCAGAAAGGATACTTACTCAATGCTAAAAAGATAATAATGAAACTCGTGACTCTTTCCAGAGTCTCGGCACAGCTTGGCCCCACCTGGCCAAAGAGTAAAAACAACTCACAGCAGAATCCAGTGAAACAATCACCTGTGGGGAAACAATCTCCAAACACATTCCACACATGAGCACAACACAGGAGAAGCAAATGAGATAAGAATTGTTTCCCTTTTCTCTGAGGCCTCTCTTGCTGCTTTTCAGCTTCCCAGGAGAAAAACCCTGGGCGAAGGGATTTTTTCAGAGGATGTGAATGCCGCAGGAAATGTTCTGGATCAGTTTCCCATGGCCCAGTGCACTCTTTCTCATCTGTGCCTAACAGGGCTGTAGGGCTGAGCTGCAGTGAAGGTGTCCCAGGCTCAGGCTCCTAAAAAGAGTGGGCAGGAAGAAGAGGCAGAGGAGTCAGCGTGCGCTGTGGCAAAAGCCATCGTGCCTTGGCTACCAACGCTCCAGCTCTGCCACAGGCATTCCAACCTCTGCTCTGGCTTTGGGTTTCTGCAGCAGGCTCCGAGGCATCGGGGCCAAACCGTGCAGTGATGAGCTCTGCAGAGTGGGAGATGCAGCTGTCAGCGTGGCTGGAGGGTGCCCAGCGCTGCCATTCCCGCGGGATTGGGCGCTGTGCCCCTGCCGCCCGTCCGCGCCGCAGATGGCAAACGGGAGAAGGGCTGGCCGTGCCCTTTAGCTGGCAGACTGTGTTCTCCTGGAGCTGCTGCCGTGTGCCAGTCAGCGTGGGAGGAGATCTGGCTCCTTCTCATTCCCGGAGCTGATCCATGGGAATCTTGCCCTCCTTCCTCTCTGCTCTTCCTTCTCCCGACATCACGTGTGTGGGAGGGGGGTAAACGAAGGGGGGGAACTTGAGGGAAATGTGAGAAGTGAGGGAAATTATCTGAAAGTCTGAGGTATTCTCCAAGATTAATCCCTCCTGTCAGGAAGGGGGTGGACTTTTGGATCCCAGCCTGCGTGATACGTGAATACTATTTTTATGCAGGGAGTAATTGAAATACGGAGCATAAAATGATGTTGGTGCAGGATGGGAGAGCAGCCACCCATGTGCCACCAAGTAGCCTCTGGAGGAGTTCAGGAGTGCCAGCCTGTCAGAGCAGCTACAGAAAGAAGGGGTGATTCCCAGCCCACTCAGCTTTTTGCTTCCAGGGCTCCACAGTGCAGCTCTCCTGTTCCCGGGTGTGTCAGCTCCGTATCACGAGTCTTCTGCCATCTGTCTGTTCGCTCTTGACAGAGTTCAAGCACTGCACCTTCAGCTCTGGGAATGTGGCTTTGCCACTGGGTTCATAGCAGCCAAGCATCTTCTCATTAGAAACTGAGGCTCTCCTGAGCAGAAAGAGCTCTCCAAAGAGCTGAACAGAAGTGCAGAACACAACACTCGAGAAACTCGATGGGATGAGATCTGCATAACATTACCCGTACTCACTTTATTTTTGTGGTTGGAATGGTAAATAGATGCCTCAAGCAAACATCCATTGCCTTCATTATTGAAAGAAGGGATTTCAAGGAAAAACCACATTTTCTTATCTACGGTAGAGCAAACAGTGTAATAAAGAAATTTGGGGTTTCAGACATATAAAATCTC